GCATGGTCACTAAAGCCTTTAGCATTGTCTGTGCACACAGACCATGAAGAATGCCCTGGTGACACCAAGCAAGGGACTTGGAACTGCTTCCATTTAATCCAAAAGTCAGTTTGCACCAGCCTTTTCTAGCCTGTCACACTCCTACCCATTCAAAGTAAATATTATGTTGCAAAACCTAACAGTTTTACTAAATTCATTTCCATTTTCATGTGTCTCTTGATGAATTAATTTGATATAGCACATAATTCAAATTATATAATCTGTGACATTCTATAATCTGTATTTGATAATCCAAACTCTTTCAATAATTATTTGCTTTAATTTTTACAGACTCTGTAAAAACCAAAACTGCAGATACAGCATGGTATTTTGGAAGTCTCAAACTCTTGCAGATTTTACAGAATAAACTAAAGTCCAACAAATAAGAATATCTGCCTATATGAAAGTCACGGCAGCTGTAAGAATTTTATTGCTGTTTGTTTGAAGTTATTCCTTCCATTCAGCTGCCAGCATGAGCCATGTAAAGAAAACCTGGTATGGGTTTGGCCACCTGTCATTCTGTCAGGGATTTATATATGCCTTGTATGACTCTATATTAGGTAGCAAGGAATAAAAAAATCACCTCTTCCAACCCCTGTAAATAATGGATGTGTTTACAGACTCTGTGCCTGAAGGCATGCTTACTGACTTGGGTCAAAAGTATTTTACCTTTGTTTCTGGTATTTTTGCAGCTCGCTAGGCCCAGCTCTGGTAACTACAAAGCTGTGGAAGAGTCTTCATGGACTTCAGTGGAAACTGGATCAGGCCTAGAGGAAGGCAAACAACTGCCTGCTATTCAACATGCCCAATAAAAATAAATGAGCAATGGCTTGTTCATATTTCCAAGCTCAGAAAAGGCTCTTCCAAGATGCTGGTAGCAGGGAATATGGGCCTTTTTTTTAATTGAAAACCTGAGTTACAACAGTTGTAGGCAATTTGCTTTTCCTTCTTGCCTCCTTTACAGGAGTAAAACAGAGGTAACGATACCCATTCATGTAGAGGCTGTTGGGAGAGCCATTCTTTGTAAAGAATGTGTTAAAGAAGAAGAAATGCAAGCATCGTGTTCCTTGCAATTCAGACACCTCAGAGAGACCGGAAGATATGAAATTTTAAAAAAAAAAAAAAAAGGAAATTAACTCTAAGAAAAGTAAAGCAATAAATATTACCTGTGCTATAACTGGCTGGGCAAGCTTGCCATCCCAAGGCCACTTCCATTCTCTGACCATTTCTTCATCTTTATTAGTCACTGACCTCTTTCCTGATTAAACATCACTGTTACGGTGTTGCTGTAAACAAGCAGAAATATGAAACCTGTTTTTCCTGGTGAATCTCAGTAAAACCTAAGCAATCCAAGAAGCTCTCTTTGATCTATGAGTCTTTAATTAAAAAGCCACTTTGCATATCTGCTCCTTCATCAAGCTTTTCTCATGCTACAGACCTGTGAGGCGGGTATAAATTATTATCCCTGTGATACAGACAAAAGGGTCAGGTAAATTCTTGCTTTAACAATTCAAATTAAAAAGAAACTGATGTCAAATTAGTGTGATTTTAATGCAATTTCCACTTACTAGGACATGTCTAGAAGTTCTAAAATACTTCAAATTCTAGTGTAAATTTGAAGGAAGAAACAAATAAGGCAAAACAGCACGTAGATGTCATTCACGTATGAGCCTTCAGTTGACAGTTTGGGGAACATCTTTATGTTGTCATCCTAAATATTTATTAAGAATAATATGTATTCTGATGCTTCTTTTATCTACCCATGAGCAAGTACCTGGTGACCAAGTACCTTGGTGACCTGCAGAGAGACATAAATTTTAAAAGACATAGAAAAGGTCCTCAGATCATCAAAAGTTTTTTAAAGTGGATTCTGTGTGCTGATGGTCTTACCTGGACACAGGGGATTCAAGAATTTTGGGGCATATTGTTTAAAGTATCAGGGACATCCCACGTTTGCTGTTTGGTTTTTTTCTCACAACTTAACTGAATACAGCAACTGAATCTCTCATAAAAAGTATGTTTTTTCTTGAGTTTCCACTGAGTTTTGAAAAATAAACACATGTATATTAACAAGGACAAAGCATGAAGCACCAGGAATCTTTAATGCTTGCACTTTAGATTTTCTATGTATTTTTGCTTGCTTTTCCATGCTGTAAGATTGGCCAGTGTAGGTAAATTTTCTTGGTTTGATTTTTTATCCCAATTGAGAATTGTTTAAACAGGGTTTTTTTAATATTTTGGACTTCTATACTTTTTTTTTTTTTTTAAATAAATAAGGGCCATCTCCTTCCACTAGCTACAGGAGCATTGAACTCCTGTTAACAAGAGCTGAACAACCTTTCCCTGCACAGCACCAGTAAAACATATTCCTGCAAACCCAAAAGATCATTCAGGACGGTAAAACAATGAACTTGACTTCTTTAAAAATGAAGGCAGCTGCAAGTTAATGTGTCTCTCGTTTTTAGCTACTGTTCCTCTCTGCAGAGCATGAAATTTTGATCCCAGATGTCTTGAGTACTCCAAAATCACGAAAGGAGCATAAAAGAAGAAAACCAAGGAAATCACTGTGCTGTAATGATAATCTTTCATGTAAAGGTGCAAAGAACTACACAGAGGGATATAAACAGATAGTAATACTATCCTGAAGAGAACTGATTGTGTTCAGTTTACATGGTCTGGTGGGCCTGAATCTTCAGAGGAAATCACCTGTGTGTAGGCTTTCCACAAGTGGGGATCTGCTCCTTACAACTGCATTTGAAATTGACACAGAGGATATTGAGAAGATCAGTGTTCACCCCGCAGTTTTTGTTAGATAGGATTTTAACCACAGACCAATCTATGCCCCTTTAGATGGGACCCACCCACAAAAGGAAGAAAGCTGTATTTAAGGGTAAGTATCCAAAAAAATCCTTGCAACTGTTTTAACAAAGTGGTGTTACACCAACCTGGGAGAATAAATGAAACCCAGAGAAAGAAATAGCATCAGGATGAAAATGTAAAACCATACTGTTCATCAATACTTTTTAAAGGACTTCTCTTAAAACATGCATCTCACTAAGATCTAGTGAAGACAATTATAGTCTTCATTTCCATCCTTATTTAAAACAGACCATAGAAAAAGGAGCTGGAAGGGAGTTAGAGAAGTCACTCAGACACATTTAAATAGAGAGAGGGACCAAACAACTCTGCAAATATTTGGTGGTGGGCAGGCACAAAGCTTCTTTAACAACATCATTCTTTGTTGTGTGTAAATTATTCCATATTAGGTCAGTAGCTCCAATTTCTTCATAAAGTTATGCCAATTATTTTTAATACAGAAAATCATAATGATGATTGAACAATATATAGAACAAATAGCATTTGATCCGCTCTTCTTATGACTTGTATAATGCACTGCATTTTGAGGCACTAAGAAGTAGCAGGGGTGGAGGAAGAGAGTGTCTGCATTTTGTCTGTGTGGAATATCCATCTGCAGCTCATGTCATGCATTCAAGGCAGCCAGAGGCTGGCTCCCAAATTGCCTGCTGTCTCCTTTGTATGCCTAAATGTTCTTGTAAGCCAAAGTGCGTCCTGTCCCCACAGCACTGGTTTCACAAATGGGAAATTAAACTCTCAAAGTGATTTCCGTCTAGCTTAGCTTAGCAATTTAGATAACATAGTAGAGGGGACAGGTTCCTGCACCTCCAAGTTCCTGCACCTCCAGATGACCTGCAAACAAGATGGAAGTGGTGTTTTTCATCTTCCCACATGTGTAGATGTCAATCTTCTCCAATGCCAAACTCTCCATGGACTATCCATCTGTCTGAACAAAAGTTTGGTCACCGAAGACTGTGCTTTACTTTTTTAGAGTGAAGAGGGTAGATGAAAAACAACAATCAAAATAAACCCAACCCATTGTCAGACACCCAATTAAGATATGACTCTAAGCTGCAGGAAATAAAACTATGTTGCACAACATAACACCTTTCTCATGTCCATTATGGTTTCAAACATTGTTCACAGCCTTGTGTAACAGCTTCATGCTCTCTGCTCTGATTTGTAGCATCAAACCAGTGCTCATAGTGCATCCACCTACCTGCTAGGAAGACACATGCTGCCATGTCCAGGGGGGAACATTCCAACTGTAGAGAGATCTGGAGAAGGGCTAAATATATTGGTATAGAAACCCCCACATGGGAGACTGCAGCAGCTTCATCAAACAGGAAGATACTCAGAAAGATAGTAAAATGAGAGTCAAGGAGTTGACTTGTTATCATTCTCCAGTTTTATGGTTACATGCCCCTGCAGAGAACACAAGGACTAACAATCTCTATCAGCTCTGTAACCTGGGTATTGGGTCCAGGAGCATAGGGATAAGCAAAGCCACTAACCCAGTCATGTCCTTCCTTGAACAAGTGGATGGGAGGGATGGAGGATGGGCAGAGCTCAGTATAAAATCCACCCACCAAAGCTCACATGGCTGGCACAGACCAAAAGTGACCTTTGCAGGAGCAACATATGGATCAGAAATATGTTTATGAAGTATAATACCTTTGGTGGTTTTCCTTGTGACAGAGCAGATTGCTCCTAATCCAGTTTGATGACTTTGACTGATAAAGTAATCTTTGTTCAAGACAAGTTTATACTCTAAATAGATTGTGGTCAGACACCATTAACTTGCAATTGTATTTTTCATTCTGGAATACTTCTTTCTGAAGCATGTCCACCCACCTGACACATACTGGACTTTGTTATTATAATCTGACTACCTGGCTGTAGTTCTGGTGCTATATAAATACAATTTGATAAGAAACAAACATTTTCAGGTAGCCAAGCCTTGCTACCTGAAGCTACCAGGAAGCTATCCAGCTACATGTTATGTCTGAGTCTCCCTCCTGTAGAAGTCCTCCCAGTACCTCTTATGCTCTTGCTAGGATTCACATGTGCTGCGTAAACAGAAAGGATATTAAACGAAAGATAAGCCATCATTCAACCCACAGTGCACTCTTCTTTGTCCTCTGCCTGCTTTCTTGACCACTGGGATCTGAAGTTTGCCATATGTCAGCTCTGGTGTGACAGTCATGGCAGCCTGAACTTTCCATGTCTTGGAGAAAGTTTCTTCTCTGTGATCACCATAATGCCAGAAAATAATTGGTTTGTCAAACTCCACTTCTTTCACCTTGGATGTTTGCTCTTCTCTGTTTACAAGAGGGAGGAAAAAAATATACCTCTGATTAGTTTTTGCTAAGCAGAATCCTCACACAGCACTTCCATTAATTTAGAATGAAGTTTAACCTAAACAGAAAACATACCTTAATTTCTCAGCTGAGACAGAAATGATCCAGGTTAATAATTTACCTAGGAATTCAGGCAGCCTCACAAACACCAGTGAACAGCCCCATTGACTGTTGAATTTGTTACAGACTTTTCAGTGCTTTGTCACCAGACTCAGCCCTTGAGTTTCAGTAGAGTGTGGAAGTTCAGACTTCTTACTGATCAGCATGGCCAGCATGAGTGAAGTGAAAATTTCTGGTTTAAAGACACAGCTATTGTTCATCTACAATTATCTCAGCAAGTCACTAGGTCTGTATCTTCAGCTACAGTATGAGTAAAATGTGCCCAAATGTTTGTTCTTCTATAATCTCCTCCTTTCTACTGAATGCAGAAGAATCTGCTGATCTCCCAATTCCCTCCCCAAGCAATATTAACCTGAAGTGGCTTCTGTTTTGTTTCATCAATAACCTTCTCTACAGCTAATAATATAACTTTGCACTCTTCTAAATTGTTTATGTGAGAACACTGAGGAGTGAGTATATTTGTGAACATTGAGGATAAATATTATTAAACACAGTACTCTCAGATCCCTCCCTAGGGGTCAAGTAAGTTGCCCAAGATCGCCTAAGTCACCTGTGGTTAAGCTGGCACTGGAACTGACTGCACCAACCCTCTACACGTCTACATAGCAGAGATCCTTCAACTGGGAGAGGCAGTCCATTTTAGCCCTGTTGAAAGTTTGTCTACCTGATTTTTTTTCTTCACCTTCACTATCCTGTATTCCATACGTCTATTGTGCTACTCTTCATTGCTATTGCTTACTACGTTCTTCTAAGAAAGAACAGTATTTTAAAATGTCATTATTTAACAACCAAATTTATATCTCTTTCAGTCCCATGACTGATCATGAGAAAGAAGCAGAGAGCTTGAGGCTGGCTAAATTAACCTAAACCTAGGAGACAGCTATTTAGTCCTGCCAGCCTTTGGCTGACATCCTTTTCAATTAGATGGTCTATGTGTACTGTTCTACTTGAATATATATATGAGCACATGCATCCATACTTTTACCTGTTAGTCTTTAAGCAGTTATAAAAATGTGCAGGTTATCACAGTAGTATTAGGTAAATGAAACCTTTAAAGGAAAAAGATGAGCACAAAAGCTGGTCAATTTTGAGGAAAGCTAATTATGTAAAACATCAGTTGACAGAAGTCAAAGGCATATTTTTGTCTTCAAGCCAATAGTTCTTGTTTCAATTTTGCCATAAAATATTGCTCATTATAAACTTTTTGCTGACCAGGCTAAACATAAATATTCAAGAACTCTATGCCAGCTCTCATGGCACTGACACAGGAATGGGGGTACTGCAATATGAGGAGCAGCATTTTACTTCTAACCTAATGGGCCAACAGGGTCTGCAAATCCTGCAAACATGCTCAGGTCCTGTGAAAGGGAACATTTTGCTTGTAGGGAGACCCTGTGACCCTATTTGGGGCCTAAATGTTGTCTTCAATTAGATGATTAAATCTGCTCTGACTGCAGAACTTTTGGGAACAGTAATATGGTGGACCCCTGAATAGCTGCACCACAGACAAGCACAGGTATCTGGATAAGCTCTATCAAGTTCTTAACTATGGAGGCTGGGGTATACCAAAACCCAGAATCCAGGAGGATAAATGACAGAACCATTTAAGAATTTTTTCTAAAACTGTAATTGTAATACATGGTCTCATGTGTGGGAAGACAACAGCACCAATACAAATAATCACAAAATATGATGTTTCCAGTGTAAGCCTCAAGTATTAAGCTTTTTTGTTGCTTTTCTTTTTCTTGGCTTTGCAAACACATTCTATAGCTATTGGAGGCTGACATACAGAGGTTGGTCAAACAACACAAGCTCCAGTTTTTGCTGCAGCATCAATTCTTTTGGACTTTGGGCTATTCAGTTCCCCAAAGAATAAAACAGTGATAATAACCCATTCCACAATGTAAATATACTATTGTACAATGCACAATACATTGTAGCATATGCACTTTTAAACACTGAAAACTGCTTGATTTTATACAGCCACTAGCTGCTAAACCTATTATGATGAATGATGCTTTTTCACCTAAGATAAAATGTTGATGTTATTAAATCTGAGTATGTTTATAAATTTGTCAGTGTACAGGAACTGTCAGTTAACCAGCAGGATATATAACAGCTGAAATTCAGAAACAGTGCTGTAGATACAAAATTATACAGATTAACTTTAATAACTGTCCTCGTAAGTAATTAATGCTTATAATTAGTTAGCAGCAAAGATTTTTTCCATTTAAACATAACCTGCTTTATAAATTCCAGCACTTCCTCCTCAGAGAATTGATAAGGCAGGGTAAATTTTAACTATTTCTGACACCTCCTCCATCTCTTGATACTATTTTAGCACTTTAGCTGGTACTCAGAGAATGGCTGCTATATTTGGAAGCTACTATACATTTTAAACACATGGCCAGTTCTCTATGGGGAGCCTCCAGAGTGTAATGCTACCTTGTGCATACGTAAAGGCTCATGTTCATGTCAGTCCTGTTCTATGGCATCTGTCAATAAAAAGTAAGGTTCATTCATATGAATACAAAGTGCTGAAGCTTTGGGAATTGTCTTCTTAAACAGATTAAACAGATTCTTTGCCTTGAAGAATATAATGGAGAAAGAGGGAATATGCATTGTATGTGCCTTCAATTGAAAAACAGAAAATTACGTCTATGAAGAGGATGGGCATCCAGAAAAATGGATTCTTCAGATAAATTCCAGGTTAGACCTTCATATGAACTACCTTAACTTCCCACCTCAGTCACAGTCACCGTTTGATTGATCTACAGCCCAGGATCGCTGCTGAAAAAGAATGAAGGTAATGCAGACTCTTTAATTATTCTCAGTACCAATCTGGAAAAGTAGTTGGAAAATTAAGCCATGCATCACTTTGAGCAGCAGGGGCACAGAGTTCTTTTAGCATGTGGTTCTGTAAGACATCTGTGCCTGCAGCTACACCACGGCAGGTATATTTTATGTAGTTTGCATTTGCAGCATTTGTGGATGATTTCTGAAGGCCTCTGGGAGTGTATAGGAACTCCTTAACTTCTGGAGATCCTCAGTTATTCTCACTCGATTTTCTAAAAAGGTGAGAACACCCAAGATGAATGGTCAGGATGTGATCTCTATTCAGTCTGAACATCTTCTGTTACAATGGTTGTTATCAAGAAATCAGATTACTTGATGTGAAAGTCCAAATGAGATGATAAAGAATGGCTACAGACACAGACTACTAGAGACTGGGCTGAGCAATTGTTAAAATTAAGGCAGGGAAGCTCAGTTTCCCTGTACTCACTATTTTACTATGAATAAATTGAAAAGCAAGTTAGTCAGAAACAAGAATTCGGTGGGTTACAGAAATGCATGACCTGCTGCTGGGCTTTCCCTTTACCAAACGAAAAATAAAACTTTGATGACAGACCCAGCAAGTGGGAGCTCCTAGGAGACAGGAAAGGGTAGGGACGATTTAGTGGAAGCTGGTTGTCTTTACCCTTTAAAAATTCATCTGTTGATTAAGAAAAGTTCAAGAGCTGCCTGACTGTGTTGGCAGATCCAGTGGTGGAGTGTTGAAGGAAGTGTGCATGATCTTGAGACCACTGAGACAGAAGAACAAAAGGCTGCCTGTGAGCACAGGAGCTAAAGGTGGAATCAATTTAACAGCTCAGAGACACCAAGAGCATGCAACTCTCCAGCAAAGCATTTCAGAGACGGTATAATTTCCTTCAGTGCCTATGTATTTGTTTATGGAACTATTCCTCCATGCTAGGATGCTGGGTATCTCTGCAGCACTTCTAACCTTCACCAGCCAAGGAATTTCAGTTCTGCAGTCCTGGTGGCACCTGACCAACTTCATGGCCAGGATTCGGAAGAGAATGCACAAATGTATTATTATTTTTTTTCCACATGGCAACGTTCTTAATGAAATCCACCAAGAGATGCAGAGTAAGCAGTCATTAGATCATTAAATTTGTTGACGTTTTAGGCAGAATTGGTATAATGCCCTGTGAAGAACTTTTCAGTTCGTGCATTAGCGCTCCCCCTTTCAGAGCAAAAGTTATTAAGTCAAATATATGTGGTCAGAGAGTAGCCAGTAGGGAACGGCTTTAAGTAATATCCTAGAATAGTTACTCACCCTGTATTCTGCTATCAAAGAGTAGTGGACCTGCAGTGGCTACGTGGAAAACTTTGTTGGCAGATTATCAGAGACAATCAGAGAAGGATTGGGTATTTAAAAACAGATCATATCCAAAAACCAGGGGGGGTTTATTGCTTGACAATTACTCCCATCTCATGCTAATCCATACTTTAGTTAATTCAGACATTCAGAACAACTGTCCAGGTACTGCATAACCACCTCTGCTAAGCACCAGCCATCCAGCCGAGCTGCCTGCTGCTCTTACCTCTTTCCTCACAAATGTCAGATAAGAGCGAGAAGCTGATTGCGATGGGTGACTGGCCAGCATCAATTTGCACAACAGGAGATAGACAGGAAGAAATCAGAGTGCAGTGCTTATGATCATACATGTAGGGGTGAGTCAGCTTTCAAAATCATAAAACCAAAGATTCTTCTTTTTTTTAAAGAGGAAGACTGTGGTAGCACCTGGAGAGCTGGAACAGGGTTGACCCCCACCTATGGTTCTGCACTGAGTATTCCTGATGCTTGCTGAATGAAATGCTCTGGATGCAAATGATTTTTACTGGCGCAATATGTTATGACTCTATCACCTTGAAAGAGGAGACTAAAAATGCTTTGATAAATGGTTTGAAACATCGCCCAGTTTCACCGGCTTTGTTCTTCTAAGTGTTTGCACCTCTTGCTTCAGCTGCAAAGCTATTTCATCATGTCCTAAAACAATGCTTTGCAGAGAACTGCAGTATAACAAGCTATAAAGTGGAGCATGTTGGCCTACCCAGCCAACAGAGAATGTAGTCTTAACAGAAAGTGCTTTATTCCCTTTTGCAGCCAAACATTACAACACAGCACATTTACACAGCACAACCTTACCTTTACTTCCTACAGGCATGTTTGATGCTGTCTCAGGTTTTCATTTTTCCTTTGTAGCACAGGCTGGTAGAGCAAAGCTTTTCATGTGTCGTTCTTTTCTGATGGCAGTGGTTTCATACTCTGTACATTTGAACCCTGGAGCACCACTCTTAATCTTCTCTAAGGCCTGGCTTCTCCTGGACCTCATACTTTTGTACCCTAGTGACTTCTGGTGCCATTTACGGTAATCAGCCCTCTCAGCGAGTTCTCTCCAGCTACAGGTTAGCATTCATAAGTCCCTGAGGGAAACCAGTCTCATACTTGTAAGGAGCTTCAACTTCTCTCCAAGCTCCTGTAACATGTTGGCAGCCACAGACGTATATCCACATGGTGAGTGCTCATTTGCCTGTGGGATCAAAGATGTTTGTAAGATCTTTGGGTTCGAGTCCTCCATAGTGGTTATACACAGCGAATGACAAGACACTTGCGGCAAAACTGGGTATTTTCTTTTCTTGTTCTATCATCGTTTAAGAAACCATCTTCATGCCTTTCTACATGCTCACCTGTACAGATGGCACCCCTGCCTTCAATTGGGCTGAGCAGAAAAAAAAAGCCGTATCATTAAGTGACAGCAGTAACAGTTAAAGAACACAGAAAAGAGACTTGTTAGCTTTGCTGCCTGTAACATACGTATGTGGACAGGCTGGCAGGGCTCCCTTTCCCAGTTGAGACTGAGCCACATTTCCTCCCAAGGAAGACACTCCTAGATCAAGCTCATAAACTCCTGTGCAGAGCAGCACAATGAGATTTAGTGCAGCCATTGCCAAACCAGGGAGTATCTCTCTGATAGTCTATGCTTTAGACTACACCCGCTGAGGTGCCATGTAATGTAATGTAACGTAACATGCTGGCTGATTTCTTCTCACCTATGTAAAGCTATTTTCTCTTGCCTCGGTAAGATGGTAATCAAATAAATCCAAAACTTTGCATTCTTAGATGTGACATGCAAAGGACTTTTAGACAAAATTTTGAGTGTCTAAAGAAGTCTTCTCCTGCAGCTGCTGATTCCATATACCCTATTTCATGTTGGGCTTTTTTATTTTTTTCAGTTTGGAAACTCCTATCTCCCATGAGAGGACCATCTTTATTTTAAACTGTAACAGTTTAATTAGAGGACTGCCTATGTGGAAAATTTATTAACAAGTTTTAGGAGTTTTAAAATCTAAAATACAAAGAAAGATTACAAAAAAAGTCTTAGTCCTCAAGCCTCTAAACACACACAAGCTTACCTGTAACCACATGGTTACCCCCATCAGTTTCAGTGGTAGCTTCTTACACTCCTTAAGTTGAGTGGAAACATACGAGTTCATAGGTTGAAACAATCCAGAGTAAATTTCTGAAATTCAAAAGCAAATTAGACAAAACAAGGTTTGTCCTTGGACCAAAAATATCAGTTTAAAGCAAATGTGATGAAACCTAAATTTAAAACCCAGTCACACCCCAGATGAATGCTGTGAACACTGGCTCCCAGTACATTAGTCAGCAGACATAAAGTTCATTAAATCCACCAAGCTGTTCAATGTGCTGTTGTTCAATTTGTGCCGAAACAGTAGAACAAGGCTATGATGTGGCATTCTTTTACTAACTTCTCAAGATTTGTATGTTAAATATATTATGAAACACTGAAAGCAGAAATGAACGTTAGGTGCTACACCTCAAGGAGTTGGGGTTAGGTATAGGACACTGTCACCTTCCCACTTGTCTCCCTCTGCTCACGCTCCAGGGCAGGATGCCAGCTCTGGTCATGTGCCTCCTCCATCTCTCCCCTTCTGCTTGGCCACATCTACCTTGGGACTTCTTTTTGTGTCTTCCCTGAAAACTAGTTGACAGAAACTTCCCAGCTTCCATCACTACTGGCGTCACACTATTACTTGTGAGTAAGCCAGTGGCAAGATCTTCAGTAAAATATGAGGACAGTTCTTCTGGTGTCTTCTTGCCCCTTTCCCTCAACCTAGTTTTCATCTACAACAAAATGAATGTTTCCAATTTAAGATTGGAGGACGTTTAAAGGGGAAGAGAGAAGCAGAAGAATATCCTGGATATAAAAGAAAATACCTTGTCAGAGAAATTTACAGGTCCTGCTTCCAGCGCTGCAGCTGTAAACACTGGTTCCATTACTCCCTAGAATGAAGAAGTGGAGCACCCCAGAGGAAAATAATTATGTCAGCAGGCTGTGAAAAAGAAACTGTTCATGTTTTTTACACTAACAGTGAAGCTGATGAATTACTTGCCGTGTGAGGCCTTGAAAAACTACTTCAAATAATACAGGAACCACCACTGTATGAATGAGAATACATTAACGTGTCAGTGGATTAAATGAGATTAAGTTGATTACAAAACTGAAGAACAAAATACCAGGTTTCGATAATTTAGGTTTATACTACTCTAATCTAGTGCTTTCATGAGATATGACTTAAAATTATTTCTGAGGATATGCAATGTCTCTGTTATCTGAGAAAGAAGACTGCTTGCATCTGCAGTTATGAGTCAGTGAGTACATCAATAAATATGCTTTTATTAGAAAAAGGAGGCTTGTGACTATCATAAATATAAAAAATTTATTTGAAAGATACCAGTGTGGGGACTCTTGACTCTGGACAGCTTTCCATCCCCTACCAAGACTGCACCCAGGCACAGAGATCTGCTGTCAGAGTGACACTCACTGTAGCAAATCCTAACGCAGGTATCTTCATAGATGCCCAATGCAATAGCTCCTCATCACAGAAAAATAAGGAATCTTTTTGAAGCACTTTTGAAGCACTCCAGACAATGGCTTGTTTTGTTCACGTGAATCTTGTCACTTAAAAGCAATTTAAAAAATAAGATCCAGAGGAGGCAATAAACTGCCTTATTTTTATATTTCACAGCATGCATCTATTCATGCAAACTGAAAAGCGTTAGCTTTGTCCCAGTCTGGGTGCACAAACAGCAGTCTCTGCTTCTCAAGGTGACTTTCAGCAGTAAGACATTAAATTTGTTTCTTTTTTGAAGCACTCCTTGGATCCGTTGGAAATCTGTCCTCCAAAGGACACAGATGTGACACTAGCTGATACAAGCCAGTATGTTTGGATTATGGCTGACAGGCTGTAATCAAACTTGTGTTTGGTGGAAAAAAAAAAAGAAATTGCTAAGCAATGTTGAAAGAAGTCCACAGTGAACAGTTATAAATGTGAATTCTTTAGCTGTTTTTGTCACTTTTAACTCCGATTTAGGTTTTAAGTAAAATGTTAAGAGAAGCAGTGGTTTCAGAATTATGGAAGCCCTTTATCCTGCTCATGCTAAAGAAGACACTTTTTGGTGACAGCTGTCATTCCCATATTAAATATGGGTGCTGATGGCTGAGTGTCCACTTGTACACTGAGTACAAGTGTCCTCTGTCCTCAGCAATTGGTGAGGGGGAATATCTTTCCTTCTAGAGTTCAACAGACATATTTGCTCTCATGCAAGAAATATTTTCTTTGTCTACATCCAGTCTTCAGACCCAAAATTAAACCTCATCATAAAAATTGTCCCATTGACTCAAGTTGATTTTTAGAGCTGAGTACGGAATGATGAGTTTTGACCCAAAACTAGAAAAAAGAGTATTAAAGTGTCATAAACATATAAATAATGGCATCAGTCCCAGAAATACAAACAGAAACAAATATAACATCCCTCTGTTCAACTCTTCTTGGGACTGATATAGGCCTCTTACTCCCTAGTCGTGCTTCCTCCCTCTCTTTCCAGGATTAAACTGCAGCTGTCAGTGACAGCTCCCCCACTCCCTTCGATGTCATTTCTTGACACTTACATAAAGCTTGAAAAGAATATACCAAAGAAAACATAACATACCCTGAAAGAAGTCTTTTCCTGAAGATCATAACTTCTTTTGCTAGGAAGATACTGGAATGGGAGCTGCCTCCTTTGAAGAAAAAGAAGAAAAGGTGAGTTTCTGTTGTCTTTCAGGAAAGGGTTTCAAGTCCTGTGGCTTAGTTACCATATTTTTTTGGATTGCATTCAGCCCTTCCCTTAGCTCCCCAGCCACTGCCTGCCTTTGTCTGGGAGGCTGGTTGAGAAAAAGGAATAGCCACTGTGAGAAAACAAAACAACTCAGTATCTTTCTCCAGCTAAAAATGGTACTCACATGTCTCTTCTGGCCTACGGCCTGTTCAATACTGTCTTCTTATCATGCTGCCCAGTATAGCATGAAATTGGAAAACACAGCATTCATTACCATAATGTGTATTAAAAGCTAGGAAAAAGCTGACTGGCAAGAACAGAAGAAGGGCAAAAAAATCTGAGCTGATAAGGGCACGCTACAAGATGTGACTCACGCACTCTGCTTCTAAGAGACCAGGCCCTCTTAAAAGCAGCCAGGTGGGGAATGTGGAGTCCAGCTGTCAGGCTTTTTTTAATGTTTGCTTTGTTAATGCTGTCAGTCCAGCTTCTTACTCCCACTTTGCAATTTTTTCATTCAGCATTCCTATTTTTGCATGTTGGTTGTCAAGCTATTATCCTGTTGGCTGTCTGTACTCCCTTATACACACTATATTGGATATATATATATTCTGGGGTTGGAAGCAGTGTAGCCTGGAAGGTGCTTAACTTTGCTCCATCGTACATGGCCTCTTCTCTGCAAGCCTAATGAACACAGCTTACAGAGTGCTCCTGGGTCCAGTAACCCAGTAGCACTTAGTGCATAGCATTACCTCAAACTGTAGAAGCACACTGTTAAATCCTGCCTTTTTTAGCTCACTGCCAATTTTTTCACTCTACTAGGTTTTATATTCATATTCTTTGGTACGTAAAGCGTGACTCCCCTCCACAATTTATTTTCAGCCTGCTTTTTTAAGGAAAGGCACTTAATACAAATGTCCAGTTTCAGCCAGATTTGGTAGAATAGCACACCCCAAGGTAATGATGCCTGCACATACTTTGTGAAAATCAGCAGCTGAGTAGACAATAGAGGCCCAAGGAAGTGTCCCCACCAAAAAAAAAGCAGGCCAAACTTTGCTGAATCATGTGGCACCAGTCAGCTGGCCAACTGCACATGTAATACTAAAAGCACATCTCTCCTTTCATTGGGGTACCTCAGTGATTATGAATGCTGGTGGAGCCATTCTGGGGAGGAAAAGAAATAACCCTCTGAGAAAATTGGCTTCATTAATTCATCTGATCACAGAAATATTTGTTCTGCTTGTTGTCCCTTTTCCTCTAATGCCCTTACTTCTAGATCTCATGTCTGCAGCCCCCTGCACGACATGTATTCATGCCTGCCCTATTTTTCCTTCACCTATGTCTGGTCAGTATTTCTCCTTCTGTATTCCCTGGGCTTCTCTAGACTTTATGGCCTCCTTTATCTGTAACTTCAGTTCTAGAATCAACAAAAGCCATGGTATGGCAACTTTGGCACATACCAGAGTGAATGGACCAGAAGCACAAGCTAGTAACTCTCTTTTTTGGTGTCAAAAGCATCAAAAGGGATATAGTGAGGGGTAAGAACAGTCTGCTGTAAGAGAGACTAATGGATTAAAATCAAACACTAAAGTAGAAACACTGCTATAGGATCTCTTGAGACCATTACAGTGCCCAGCTACAATAAATACATAACAGGAAAATCTAAGATGACTCAAAACAGATAATTCAGTGAATGTGATCCCTGATGTTCCCCCTCCCCTGCCGCCAACGACAAAAAGAAAATTAACAGCTCTATAGATTCCTCTTCTACTTAATTAGGAAACTAGAATGGAAAACAACAAAGTGTTCTAGGCAACATTAGTGCACGTGCTTTTGTGTCATCCTTTCTCAGTATGAGAAAGAGCTGCTCCACCATGGCTCTCTTCATCAGACTCACACAACATCAATTCTGACTGGAGTAGGGGCAACAAAACAGCAGGAAAAGAGTAGCATGCATTAAATGGCTCACCCACTCTACCGTGCAAGGTTTATTCTGCTTTAATCCGAGTAATAGGACCCTCCTGGAGCTGGTCTGATTGTATTGACATTGGCATGTAACAACGTGGTTCAAAGGGGGAACAAGTGGTACCACAGCAGTCCCCAGCAGGTGGGACATGCCACACTGCTCTGAACAAGCCTTAACACCAGGGGAGCCAGCTTCCCTGCTCCCAGCCTGCTCCCATGAAATGGGAAATAGTTGGATGTTTCCATGTTCATGCTCTTACCAGCAAAAGCACGGGAGGACTGTCACACTGCTGTGACACCCGCACCGAGCAGGATGGAGTTCCTTGGCTCAGTACTAGAGCATTAGCTTAAGTCTTTTGGAAGCCTTGTGCTTGCTGAGAAATGGAGCAGGCCAGAAGTGAGGGAGCGC